CATTTGAATAATAGTATCTCATGAAACAAGCATGACGACAGCACCGAATACCAGCTAGACAAAACTGTATACGAGCGCCTGAAATCCGGAGTGCTGTGTGCGCACCGTTTTGCGTCAATGGGTTGGGGTGGTTTTGGCAAAAACGGTCAGCACGAAGAGCGCATCAGCCTGGTTGATCGTAACAACAAATAAATAAATAAATAGTTTATTCTCGTCATTGCGAGGCACACCCATCAAGGGCGTGATCATGGTAATACATGCATGTATGATCTGTAATTGCACAAATTAGTACATTTTGACAAATATCATAGGAATCTATGCGTTGGCATGTAAAAGTATGTTTAAGTGTGTATTTAAAGTAGCCATGTTATGTGAGTAGGTAAATGTGACTCTGTGTTTTTGTTCGTTTGGTTCGCCATCAAAGGGGGGAATCAATGGAACGCTTCGAATCGGATGACGTTCGTGGTGTGTGAATGATCCTCCGGAAAAGGGAAGAGGCAGTGACTTTATTTGTGGCGAGGCACATCCGCCACGTCACAGTGTTAAACGGATATCTGTGGTTCTTTATAGAGAGAACGCTTGCCAGGCGAAATCCCACCCCATCCTAGAACACTGCCGCCGAATCATTTGCTAGAACGGGATTTACCCGAACCACCCAGTTGGCACCCCGGGGAGGCAAGGTCAGCGTCGACCCACTTGCTCCTTGTTGTTGACGATGATGTGAATTAACAAACTGGTTACTGACATACACAAGCATTATATGCAGGTGTAATGTTGGCAAACACAGAAACATAGGCAACAGAAGTTGTTTGTCGGCGTACCAGGCCTCAAGGAACACTGGAAAGATGCATCTTTCCGGTATTCAGTTCAAAATAAGCTTAACCCACCCACTTTCAGCATTTTCACACACTCACACTGCGAAATACAATAAAACAAAGCATCAATGAGAAATGACAATTGATAGCATAAGATCCCGAAAGTTCAGTTCACTTGAACAACTATGATGCGATCACCGAAATGTGGTTGATACAGTTGCCGCGAGTCACATCGCAAGAATAATAACAACGGTAAGATAGTGGGGTGGGATGAAACTAGAACGTAGAGAAAATTGAAGTAAGAAGAAAACGCGTTAAACTAACCAGAATGGAACGAACACTAACAACCGGATGACATTCCTATAAAATCGCTATACAATCCCACTCCGATTGCACACTGATTCACCTGGTCTGACAAAGCTGTTGTGTCGAGAGAGGAACATTGCCAAAATACTATACCAATCGATTGTTTCCAAACCTCTCTGAACTCATGACTACTCGTTCGGTTCAAAGTATCTTCCAAGAATGAGAGGGGTCGTATAAAATCTTGGATGAAAAGTTGATGCATGCATCAGTGTTCGACAAAATCAATGAGCAGTATTTTCCTTAAGCCGGAGCAGCGAGAAATAGATTTCAGTGAACGGACAGGAAGCATATGATCATTGTGAAACATTCTGAGGAGAATAACAGGGGAACGGTATAAACAATGAGGTACATGCAGTAACAAATCTTGGAATTAGGGCATGGGGTACAGAAAGCACTTTGATTCTGGGGGCCTAAAAAGACAGCCTTCTGACATTGATGTTTCAAGAACATGTCTAGATCAAAATAACTTGTGAGAAAGGAAAACTCCGAGATATTTTGCCGTAGATGTGCGAGGTATGCTTTGGTCATCTGCAATTATGGGAGAGGAGATAGGTACAAGGAAATGAAGTCTGTTGGGATATAGAAAAGTGTACGTTACGCCACAATACATGATTGGGTTGTGAGAGATCGGGAGCTTGACCAAACCACTAGTTCGTCTAAACTTCGTTGAAGTTCCGAAGAGTCCTCAGCGATTGGGGTTATGCAACCCAGAATGACGTCATCAGTATACTTGCAACCTATGAAGTTTGATCGAATAGAGAGACTTTCGATGTAGGCGGTGAATAGAAAGCGGGATATGATGGCTCCCTGAGAAACACCACAACTGGCTACGAGTACAGAAGACTTTCTACCGCATAGCTGCGCGAAGTGGGTGCGATTGGTAATCTCGCATCACACTACACACATATGATGAGACACTAATTTCGGACAAAATGTTATACAGTAATGACCTGTCGGGAATGCCAAAGGCGTTGGTGCAATTAAGTTACAGTAGCCCTTTGCTCTTGCATCCAGTATCCAACATTAACGCCATGGAATGCATCTGATAAAAAACGACACCCAATGTAGACTGCTCTGGTTTATAGGTAAACTATGTGACATCATCTCTATAACTACCTGTAGGAATGCGCGGAGGGGGGTCAGTAGTTTTTCAGTGCCTTTGACAGAACGGACGTACACGCAATTGGTTTCATTCTGGCTTATCGACAAATGGCTGGGATGCTACCAGTACTTAATTATCATTTCATGATCTCTGTCAGACGTGTTTTTAAAGCATCTGACAATTTTGGATGGTCTTTTCGGCAGCGAAACATAGTTGGCTTCACTGTATGACGTGGGACATATCTTTACTACGCAATGGTCGAAATTACTTGGGGGAGCACGCCTTGGTGTTGAGTTCGTTAGTAAAAGCTAAATCTAGATGCATCTCTAGTCTTGTGGGGAACTTTAACAAATTGGCTAAGCCCATGGTGGTAATGAAAGTTGTGTCAGTCCTATGGATGTCGCAGACGCGAACGGAAACGGAACATCCTAGCTACGGTTGCAACTACAACCCAAGGTAATCTGCAAACTTTTGCAACCCCAACAGCGCTGCGTCCGTAGTTACCTACACGTCCTCAACTACGATAGTTAAGAAACCGTTAAGAAACCTAGCTTTGTTCTCCAATAGGTGGTAGTTTACTGAGTTTGTTGAGTACTCCGAGAGTTGTTAAACAGATTTAAACCAATATTTGTTAATGTTGATGATGATACCGCGATGCTGGGACTCTCCTGGGCGGCCAAATATAATGTAGCAGTAGCCATTGAGGTTAACGACTTCACTACCAATGCAACCAATTTTTCTGCAACATCACTAGACCTGCATGCATAAATTCCATTCGATGCAAAATATTTGCGGGATCATCAAATTACCCGAGAAGTGAACGTGTATTGTTGGACAAAATTAACGAACTTTGCGCCTTATTCGCGGAACAGCGCTTGAGTCCTACTTGTCAGCCAGCACGATGCCTTTATATTTTGTCTTTGGTGAGAATTCTTTTGATTTTGTGGCCGTAATCAATTAGAGGCGACTTTCGTACATTGTCTCGAAGGTAAACGTAATCTTCACCTGACAATGTGTAAACCGCTCCCAATACAATATTTTCAGTAAACCAAAATAATGCATTCAGAATCACTCCAAGTGATCGTTGGAATCCCGAGTGAAACCCAGTTTGTGGTTTCGTATCGATGAATTCGCGAGTATTTGCTTCCGATCACTAATCGACAGAATACCGGAGTCCATTTGCAGGAGTTCATTCTGTTCCATTGCGAAACGCTCCTGTTTAATCCACCATCACTACGGCCCATGAGGCTTATGGGCGAATTAACACGGTCTTAAGGAATGGCAACAGATGAGGTCCTGTGATCGTGATCAGGTGAGCACTTTGAACTCGATCATAATATCTCGGCATTGCCCCTTTTCTACATAACGAAATGCGGGTTATTGTGAAAGTGCCACATAAACATCTTCAGAATGCTCCATAACAGTTTAATTAACGTTTTTCTCCGCAATAAACTCGATCTACAGTTTGCTTTGATAGATGCTATCGCAGTTGGTTGAGAAAAAATTCTTCCGTTAGAACAGGGCAGTACCTGACATCCAGTCGTCGCGGTGGTTAACTTTTGGGAGGAAGTGGCGTGTGTCCAATAGCTACAAGCATGGGTTGCTGTTTGTTATGAAAGGTATCACGCTACTGAAAAACAGACAGGAAACTCATCACATCCCAAAGGTTTTATGATCATACCGAGATTACATAAGCAGAAAAATTACCGGTTGTTACATCGGGGTTGTGGGTTACTAGGAGGTCAATGTCCACTTGAAAGTGGGGGAGTCAATCAGACAAGTATCAAGGACGTTCAAACAGTGCTCAAAGCGAGGCAGTTTGAATTTTGAAGAAGTGAATTTCGCTGTCGAAATCCTGTGCGAACATGTCAGTTGTAGTTACTATCGGATAAGTGAATACAGTCTAGCTTGAAGGGGTGCAAGTTACATGTTCAGACGGTGATCGTTATACACACGAACAAGGTTTGTCGACACTTCCGCACTGAATTGCTCTTCAAAATGCGTGCGGTACTGAGTTATTAGCGGCGTAAAGTTGACTATGAAGCCGGATAGTGAGAGCCCTAAGCAGACAATCTCAACTCACTGTTCGTTGGACAGTGACCGAAAAGATTACTAGTCTACCTCGTAATCAGGTCACCGGTTCGAATCCGCATAGGTGAAGACGATCTGACGTTATACTCGGCCTACATGCCACTGTTGATCGTCGCGTGGCAACGTAGCGTCAGTACCATGTACGAGCGTACTGCTGATGCCCTTTTTGCTGCCTGAGACCGGTGTTCTCAGTGCATGGGCGCCTTGAGCCTGAATTGGAAACTGGGAAAATCAAGTGTCTGTGCATGGGCCGGGAAATTCCCTGAAAATGGAGGATCTCGGAGTCGCTTTCTTCCACCAATGCATCATGGCGCGTTTGGTTCTTGTTTGAACTCATCAGATAGCCTGATCTGGGAGAGGGACTCGGCACATAGTGGTTTGTGCTGCTGCCATTATCACCAGATCATTGAGATAGGCGAGCAGCGCTTGACACAGCGCTCCTAGAGCTCTGGCTTAGTGATCAAGACAAAAGCCGTCAACCACTGTATCGGGTTTGCCTATCAACAAAAACTGGAGAGTTCAAACAAGGACGAAACGTGTCGTGGAGTGCAGTGATTAGAGAGAGCAACACCGAAACCCACCAGTTCGGATACAGTCCCAGTGATCGGAATGGCAGAAGTTGTGTTAAAAATTAACTGAGGCCTCAACTGAAATTACGTGTCGCAATCCAGGGCACACAGCAGCGCTCCAAAACCCAGCAGTCAACTCCTCTGAAAATGGTTCAAAATGAATGTGAAATATTTCACCTGGGAGAATTTGTGATACGAACGCAGTGTGATTGCGCAAAAGACAATGAGAAGAAGGTTCACCGGCAATATTACCAATGGGACCCGAAGATGAAACAATGACGCAGAGATCCCGCGTGTGTCCCGGATTAGTGGTTATTGGGCTGAAAAGAGGTTATTAGATTAAACGAAATTAAATACAGAGCATGGCGGCCACCTAGGGAAAAGGTCGCACCGAGGAACCGGGCTATGTCTGGGGAGCCAGGCGCCGTGAAAACAATAAGGAGCTATACACAAGAGAAAATAGCAAGTATAAAAACATTGGCCCGGCACAGTAACCCAACAGTTTGTGCGTCCGTGAGGGGCATCACAAAGTTAGCTCCGCAGAGCTGCCAAACGAGCTTGCATTTCGGCCAAGTCTTCGCGATCGTCCTCCTCTACGCTGTTCTGCAATGCGGCCGGATTTCGACTACCACCCGCTATGGGAGTGCCGGCAGGAATAGAGTCCATAATGGCGTCAGGTGCTTTCGAGATTTCTCCGGCAGTAATTTCAGATAAAACCTTGTCCACCTCTGCTGAAATAGCATCCTCCATGTCATCTGGATCGCCCATGGCGGACTCCATCGTGTCCTGCACCATTTCGTCGATTAGGCCCATTTTCATCATTTCTTTTCCCAGGTCTTGCATTGTCTTCTGTAAGTCCGGTAGCTAGATGGACGTAGACAACAAGGAGAAATGGTATGCGCGAGAGAATAGGTTTTGTGGATGACAGAAAGAAGGATGTTGACATCTTAAAAACCGATCGTGAACTAATAACTTCAGAAAATCGTGGTCAATCTCACGAAACTTTTTATATTTTTGCCAGAATAGCCTTTAACCCAAATGAAGCATACTTGAGGCATGAGACTTATCTCACAATCAAACGTCCAGGTGAACACCGCACTCGATCAAACCGACTCTGATTAGAGCGACAAACCGCCGTAAAATAGATAATGATAGACTCTGCGGTACATATTTAGGCGGTAGGTCAACGTGAAGCGAATAAGTTCGATCATTGGACGTCTGTAAATACCAAGGCAACCTAAAAGCAAATACTGTATTAGATGAAACAGTGCGCAGTTTAGTGCAGGAAATTTCGACACTTTTATGAAAAGAGAGGAAAAACCATTCCTAGTGTTGAAACTACGGTAGCAAAATTACTCTCTTCAAAGAGAGTACAGCTAGTAAATATTATTTATTTTCAGCGGTAAGGTCTCATTACATTGAGACTGGATCATATCGTGATATGATGGTTCGTGTGCCTCAACAGTCCATTGAGGTGTACTGGGTGGGCTTCTTGCACTTCCAGTCACCTACAACGGATCGATCAGTGGTTAGAGGCCAGTCAAGCTGTCTTCTGGCCCTCCAGGTTGGGGGTTGATTCCTTACTCCATAAAACGGACTATCCGTAGTCCAGTGCTAAAACCTTCTGCCTTGCGGTCAGGCTTTTGAATTAAAGGTTTGGGTTAAGAACCCTAATTGTTTTCCTATCTAGGCCTGGATGATTTGACAGTATCTTATCCACGCAGAACACCCCACCAGTAGTGCGCCAACACACCATACCGAAGTTTCGCTAAACGAAACTACCGCTGGTTGTGCGTGGGTTGGGTATGTCGAGAGGTCGACCACACTTATGCGGATTCGATCCGGTGACCTCCAAAGCACAAGGTAAATGCGTTGTCATTTTGGTCACCGGCAGACACACGATACAACAAAATGTATCTTTCCCCACAGTCCTCACTACCAAAGGTTAACCTAGTTTCTGTGAACCTTCCACATTTTTGGAAGCATGACCCACAGATATAGTTTACTCAGGTCAATGCACAGTTTGCTCTTCGCAATATCATACGCGAACAGACCATGTTTTATCATGTGTGAGCCGTATTGTCACCAGAGACTGTTGCTGACCTACGAGATATTTTGTCGACAATGGATGGCGCTAAGCCTTATTCGTAGCTTAAACATGCAGTCATCCAATGAACCGCCGTTTCTGAGCACTAACATCTCAAACAATTGATTATCGAACAAGTGATTAGCGATTCACTTGACGGACGCGCTCCTTCCCAATTTCTAGGAAGTCTTCATAATGGATTAGGCGATCGTAAACTGGATGACGCGTTATTTAAGCAGCTATTTCTGAAGCGTTTATCTACGCAGGTACAGCCTAGCGTAGCCAGCAACGGTGACAACAACTCGCTAGTATCGCTGACAATATTTTAGAAATCCAACCTAGCCCAACTGACATCCACGTCGTTGAAACGCACAGTCAACTAAACTCGATTAACGACCGGCTGGACGAGTTGGCTAAACAGATGGCTGAAATTTGGTTAAATCAACCAACACGCAGCCGTTCTTCTAGAACGTGTTCATCTACTCGAACAAGAAGCCCTTCTTTATCGCGCACTTCAACCGCTTGTTGGTACCATAGTCGTTTCGGGCATTCAGCTCGTAAATGTACTCAACCCAGCTCCTTCCGTCAAACACAGCCGCCAGCGTTCCCGCAGTCGGGAAACGAACAGGCCAGACGATAGAGGCGAGCACCGTCCTTGGCCCAGCGCAATCCAACTCTCGCTGACTCATTGTCCTAAATCAGACCACGGGTTTCCGTTTTATTGTTGATACTGGGGCTGACATCAGGGTAATACCACTAACCGCCTCTTTTGTTAACCGCACTCCACATTCGATGTGCTTAACAGCAGCTAAAAAGGTCAGTATTAAAACTTTCGGTCAACGAACCTTATAATTCAGCCTTGGTTTACGACGACAGCTCACTTGGATATTCATAGTCGCAGACGTACATCAACCCATATTAGGAGCGGATTTCCTGACATTTCAATTTGTTAGTGGATCTACGAAGCCAGCGTTTGCTAGATGTCAACACGCAGCTTTCCGTTCCTGGTAACACAGTGTGTACACCATCAATCTGCCCCACAATCCTTTTGCCACGAAACACTTCTCCTTACTACAATCCCCTTCAAAGATTTCCAGATATATTAAAACCAAACTTTTATCAGCCGAATATCACACATTCTGTATGTCACCGCATCACCAGCAGTAGTACCCCATTTTTCTAATGTCCGCGACGGGTACCTCCCGAAAGATGGAAAATAGTTAAGGATGAGTTTCAACACATGCTCCAGGTAGGAATAATTCGACCATCTGAAAGCATGTGGGCATCATCGTTGTAAATGGTAACGAAGAAGACAGCATCCGATTGGAGATTCTGTGGCGACTACAGAGCACTTAATTGTATCACCATTTCTGATAGATACCCCATTCCACACATTCACGAGTTTTCTTCTCATTTTCTTGGATGTACCATTTTTCACACACACTGACATCATGCGTGCTTATCATCGAAACCGTGTTCATCCTGTTGATATTCAAAAGATAGCCATCACAACACCATTAGGTTTGTACGAATTTTTACGCATGCCATTTGGTTTACGTAACGTTGGGCAAATATTTCAGCACTCTATTGATCAGGCACTTTCAGGCCAGCCATTTCGCTTATCTTGAGGATATTTGGACTGCAAGCGCTAACGAAAGCAAACAGTTGGAACACCTAAAAATCTTATTTGCACGTCTCACCAAATACGGAGCGGTTATCAACAGCGAAATGTGTAGCTTTTTTGAAGTTTCTTGGTCATACCAGTACTAGCACTGGCATTTCGTCAACGACAGAGAAACTTGATGTCGTACGAAACTTTCTCACACCCAATTCTGTGAAACAGTTGAAACGTTTCGTAGGCATTCTTAATTTCTACCGCCGTTTCATTCCAAACGCTGCAAATAAGTTATCTCCACTCATGAACATGTTGGTTGGTGATCCGAAGCAATTTAATTTCACTGACGCCACTGCACGAGCTTTCGAAGAAATCAAATCCTCTCTAACTACTACCATGATGCTCTTCTACCTGCAACCCGATGCTCCGGTGTCGTTAAAGTTTAACGCATCAAATACACCTATCGGAGTAGTCTTGCAGCGGACCGTCGATAAAGTCCAACAACCACTTGGATTTTTCTCCTACAAGCTCACACCAGCCGAAACTCGCTAGATACAGTACTTTTGGTCGTGGTTTACCCGCCACATACTCAAGAATCCGTCACTTTCGACATCTTCTGGAAGGAAAACAGTTCGTTGTGTTTACCGACCACAAGCCCTTGACATTCGCTCTAGCGGCTAAGCCAGACAATACTCACCCCGTGAAGTACGTCAGCTAGATTTCATTTCACAGTACACCAATGATATCCGCTATATTCTTGGACGAGAGAACATTGTTGCTGATACTGTCACGCACGCAAGTTGATTTGGTGAACCCGTCTACCATCGATCTGGGACGCATGGCTCAACTGCAAAAAGAACCATCTCAGCCGCAGATGAAGCATAAGCAGCTGTTACCAGACATTCAATCAGTACCTCTGCACACTACACCAGGTACGATTTGATTGTGATGTTTCCATGGCACATCCAAGACCAATGATCTTGGATATGCCATGGTTCCTGCATTCATGCAAAGAACCATTTTCGAGGTTCTTCGCAACGTATCGCATCCCGACATACGTGCAACTGTCAAACTGGTCTCCGAACGCTTTGCATGGCCGAACATGAACCAGGACATTCGCATATGGGCAAAGACTGCTTAGCATATCAACGTTCGAAAGGAACGAGGCACATCCAATCGAACATCGGAAGTTTTGCACAACCAGACGGCAGATTCGACCATATGCACATCGATATCGTCGGATCTTACCCTATTCCGGGGGTAATTCTTACATCCTGACATGCATCGATCGTTTTACTCGATGGCCTGAAGCTATTACCATTGCAGACACACTTGGAGAAACCAGCGCCCGTGTACTTGTCATCAGATGAATAGCAATTTTCGGCGTTGCTTCTTACATCATCACTGACCACGGTTCACAATTCGAATCCCAGCTTTTCCAACAGTTGACGGAATTATTGGGCTGCAGAATGATTCACACCATAGCTTATCATCTCCAAGCGAACGGTGTAGTCAAACGTTTCCATCGACACACGGACAGATGGGGCATAGAAGTACGAGTGAAATTCATCGAGAGAACAACCCGCATAGGAGCAGGTCCCGAGGCGGTTCCAGTAATGGTCGTATTACCTCACTTAAACGTTTTATTTATCTATACTTGCTATCTCCAAATACCTCACAATCCTCCCGAAATATTTAACCGACCAATGAGAAGTCCGCCAGAAGGCTTGAAGATTGCCTTGGAAAATTCGAAAATATACCATATGCTCCTTGCGATTTTGCCGTACATAAAAAATCGTAATATTCAGTTGGATCGCACCAACAAGAGATATACCATTGTTTTTTATTCACCACAAGTTCATATTGCCTATGCAAGAGCACGGTACTACCTGTACATATTTGATCTGCGACAATTATGGAGGTAGATTTTCATTCGAAGAGAAATATACCATTATAATAGTAGTATTATTTAAAAACGCGATCAAAGCACAATCTGATCCGACTCACTGGACAGATACACTTCCATTGATTTTGCTCCATTTGCGAAAAATGTTTCGATCAACCCTTTAATGCTCAACTGAGGAGCTGATGTTCGGAACTTTATTAAGTGCCCCTGATCCATTTTTTACCCCAGTAGATAACACTAACACTGGTCCCTTCACA